CAGTGTTGTACAGCGATGTGCAGTGCTGTGCAGTGTTGTACAGCGATGTGCAGTGTTGTACAGCGATGTGCAGTGCTGTGCAGTGTTGTACAGTGCTGTGCAGTGCTGTGCAGTGTTGTACAGTGATGTGCAGTGCTGTGCAGTGCAGTGCTGTGCAGTGCTGTGCAGTGATGTAGTGTTGTACAGTGCTGTGCAGTGCTGTGCTGTACAGTGTTGTGCAGTGTTGTGCAGTGCTGTACAGTGATGTGCAGTGCTGTACAGTGTTGTACAGCGCTGTGCAGTGCTGTGCAGTGTTGTACAGTGATGTGCAGTGCAGTGCTGTGCAGTGCTGTAGTGTTGTACAGTGCTGTACAGTGTTGTGCAGTGATGTGCAGTGCTGTACAGTGCTGTGCAGTGTTGTACAGCGCTGTGCAGTGCTGTACAGTGATGTGCAGTGCTGTACAGTGTTGTACAGCGATGTGCAGTGCTGTGCAGTGCTGTATAGTGATGTGCAGTGATGTGCAGTGATGTGCAGTGCTGTACAGTGCTGTACAGTGCTGATCAGTGTTGTACAGCGCTGTGCAGTGCTGTACAGTGATGTGCAGTGCTGTACAGTGTTGTACAGCGATGTGCAGTGCTGTGCAGTGCTGTGCAGTGTTGTACAGTGATGTGCAGTGTTGTACAGTGATGTGCAGTGCTGTACAGTGTTGTGCAGTGTTGTACAGTGCTGTGCAGTGTTGTACAGTGTTGTACAGTGCTTGCAGTGTTGTACAGTGATGTGCAGTGCTGTGCAGTGCAGTGCTGTGCAGTGCTGTGCAGTGCAGTACTGTCCAGTGTAGTGCTGTGTGCGACAGGGTTCGCAGTCTCACCGTGGGCAAACACCACCAGCGGCACACGGGCTCCTGCTCTGCTGCCACGCGGCTTCAGCACCAGGGCATCAAAATCCAGGCCAGCTGCCGGGACACAGGATGACAGAGGGCGGGGATCAGTCCAGGTTCTGTCCACACCGCACCAGAGAGGCAGGGCTCAGCCGACTCTGCCGATGAGCCACAGCCCACAGGGCAGACAGACATACAGGCCGCAGACGTGAGCCCTGGAGCAGGCGACAGTCTCCAGTCTTCGGTCTGCAAGCTGGGGAGGTCTGGGTCAGTAAGGCAGCAGGGCAGGGACACCGCAACACAATTCCTGCTGGCGACACGCGAGCAGGACGAGGCCACAGCCGGCCAGCCACACCAGAGCGCAGGCCTGAGGATGACCTGCTGAGGTCAGCGCCTGACGCGGGACTGAGGAAGGCGACAGGCAATCGCACGCGAGGATGAGAAGGATGAGGCACTGGCTCACAGTATTCCTTGTTCTCCTCTTCGGGAGGGGGAGTGAAGTCCATGATCTGCCACTCGATGCTGGGGACGCACTGCAGGTCATCCAGGGGCACCCAAGACACCCTGTCCTCTCCTCCGGCTGGCGGCAGGAACCCCACTTTCTGGGGAACATGAACAAATGTCACCTGGGGTTCCCAACACAATGCAATGCTTACACCAGCACGCAGGAGTCCGTTCCTCTGCAAGGCTCTCCTGCACGCAGTGAGACAGTGCTCAGCGGGGATCAGAGGGGTGGTGTACAGTAGCGCGCAAGCCACTAGGTTCTGACAGGCTCTGGGTTCGAGGCCCCAATGCTGGCACCTTGAGAGAGGTACGTCATCGCTCCACCCAATCCACCCAGCTGAGTAAGTGGTGACCAGCACAGCCGGGGTGATCGCTGTGATGAGCCAGGGAGTCACGTGCTCTGTAGTCCACTTGAACACTACAGAGGCCGGGACGGGCTGGGGCTGTGGTCTGGACCTGTTTTTTTTTTTATACTGGTACCTACAGCACTTACAGACACACTGTGATTGAAAGAAGCACATTTCAATTTGGAATGTGAGCTGGGCAGTGCAGATAACGGGACAGGACATTCAATTGTAGAAGAGTAAATGTGCACAGGGCTCAGGAGTGAAATGTGACCGAGGGAACAGTTTCCCAAGCTGAGCTCTTACAGGTTCCTACTGAGACAGAGCCCCACGCTGGCCTGACTCTGACCCTGGGAGGCTGTTATGTATTTTGGGGGACGGGGCAGCATTTTCTGTATTTGCGGGTGCTATGGACACCTTTTTCCAATCAGTGGCAAATCTGAGACTTGTGGAAGGACACTGGAGCCAAACTGGACACAGGCAAGATTTGCCAGTGCGAACGATCAATACAGTCAATATCAATAATCAATACAGAATTACCAGGCATGGCGGGCAGTTGATCGACGAGCAGCTGACCACCATCAGGTCTCTCTCGATGGCCAGCAACTTCCAGCTCCCAAATTCTGAGCCTGTGTAGACAAGAGGGGGGCCTCTGAGCAGGCACTCCGACTGCCCCCCCAGCAGCTCCTGAGTCACCCACATGGGGAGCTCAGCCCGACTGCTCATCCAGGCGTGGAGCCCAAGGAGCTCCAGGAACCCTCCCAGGGCGACACACGTCAGCACACCCAGGGCACGATACACAGGAGGCTGCTGGGACAGAGCAGTGTCCACACGGACCACCTGACCGCTCACTGCTCCTCAAATCCATTCTGCTTACAAACTGTGGCCCAACCAGCTCCTTACTGGACGACTCGCTAGCTACCACTTAACTTAACTGGATTCTGTAATCACGGGTCCAGTTGTAAGACTTTAAATGAAAGGGGTTGTAATGTCCAATACTGGACGGGGGCACAGTAGTTGGACATCAGCAGACAGGTGGTCAACAGTCAATGACGGGAGCCGGCTGAGACCCAGTGTCTCAGCCTGAAGGCTCTCCTGTGAACTGAAGCTCCACCCCCCCAGTTTCTCTTTGGCACAACTGGGATTCATTTGGCGGCAGGAATCATTCGGCCTCACGAAAGGCAGAACGGTCAAGGAGCGGTGCAGGAGCCCACTGGGCGAGGAAGATGCCAGGAAGCGGACGGGACGGCCATACTGACTGTCGGAGAGGCGGGTCACCCTCCTCGAGACGGTGTCCAACACGAAGACGTCCTGGGTGGAGAGAGGGACAGAGAGCGGCGTCCCGTCAGTCGCGCGCAGGACAGGGCGGGGGAACAGCGGGGGGCAGCAGGACAGGGACAGGGACAGGGACAGAGACAGAGGAAAGAGAGGGTCTGAGCTCCGGGGCCTCCGGACGTCCCAGAGCCACAGGGACTCCCGACCGAGGACTTCCGGCAGCTTCAAGGAATCAAGTGGACTCAGCTCCCGATCCGGGGAGCAGGAGGGAGAGGAACAGAGGGAGGGAGGAAGACAGGAAGATAGGGAAGAATAGAGGGAGAGAGGGAGGAACAGAGGGAGGGAGGAAGAGAGGAAGATAGGGAAGAATAGAGGGAGAGAGGGAGGAAGAGAGGAAAAGAGGGAGGAAGGGAGCAGAGAAGCAAGAGAGTGCGGAAGAGAGGGAGAGTGGAAGAGAGGAAGAGAGGGAGGAACAGAGGGAGAGGGAAGCGGAAGAGAGGGAGAAAGGAGGCGATGGGAGCCTCGCGTTACCTTCCTGCTCCTCCTCGCGCTGCTGAACACCAGCCTCTGGCTGTCGGCGGCCCAGCAGCGCCGGGGCAGCAGGGGCTCGTACAGGCCCGCGAACTCCCCTGGGGCGGGACGAGAGAGAGGCGCCGGCGCTCGTCACGGGAGTCAGTCAGAGTCAGTCGGAATCAATCCGATTAGTGATTAAGATCAGAGGCGGAGTGAGATCCTAAGGCAGGGGCTAGCTCCTGCACTTGTTATGGCGCATCTGCGCGCCATCGATTCCTTTTTTAATGCCAATAATAGCCCTACATTTTAATAAATATAAAATTAATATTAAAATACCATACTATCTAAAAGTAATAAACGAATACGCGCACCTCACCAGCTAGTCTAATCCTTGCCCTTTAAGCAGCACACAGGCCTCTGAGTGTACAGCTGTCAAGGGGGCTACGTTAGGGACACAGAACTGACTTCATGTGTGACAACGCCTGCTCGCACATGTGTTGGTCCAAAGGCTGAGAGCAGTCAGACTTGAAGAAAAAACGCGTTTCACACATTCCCAGAACTCTGGGCTCCAGAGGTCACATACAAACAGCACAGACGGCACAGGCTTTATGTTGAACGAATCCATACTCATTTCCATACTCTTTTAGTCCGGAATGCCCGACTCTGCACCGGAGCACAAAATGACCTCAGCCGCTGCCCGGATGGCGAGCTTCCCAACACCGGCATGCTTGCCCTAGGCTTCCGGCCCCTGTCCCACAGGATCCCGCGGTGACCGGAGAGGCCCGTCCCCGACCCGAACCCCGGACCCGCCGGACGGACCCACGCCGCAGCGGTCAGACCGTCCGCAGGAGACGCCTACCTTTCCCGGGCCTCTTCACCAGGTCCAGCAGCAGGGCGGTCTTCCTGGTCTCCCTGTCGAACTGCAGAGACAGGCAGGGTCAGCGATGGGGCCAGGACCAGCGGACCGGGATCGACCAGGACCATGAGGGAGGGAGAGGTCAAGGCCGTCAGGTGTTCCTCATGTCCTCGCCGGCCAGAACATTAGGACACCCCCCTCCGGGCAATGCAGAGAGACCAGGGTCTCCAGCCCTGGTCCTGGGCAGCCCCCAGTCCAGTTCACCCTAGGTCACCCTCAATCAGGG